CCCTTAGAGGCAGAAGATGAAAAAGTGTGTTTAGTCGTCCCGATGACATAGTAGTGAGCAACACCTTCTCCATCCTCCATCGAAAGCAACCTTCATATGACTCCGATGTCGAAGTAAACGCAACATTCACTTTATGCAATAGGGTGCCAAGCGCCTCGCACATTCTTACTCTACGAAGCAGCGTTAGCAAACGCATATGACACAGAGATTGAGCCGAGAATGTTATCTTGCGTACTTTTATCCCTCATATATTTGTATTTAATTCATTGCAGTACAATTTTACATAATGTATATTGCACTTGAAAATATTCGCAAGGATCGGATTGTCAGAACCCATGAAAATGATGTAACTTTGAAAAGGAGGGACCCGTAATGTATGTGGAATGCTAGCCGCATGTCAAAAAATGAATATATTGGTCGAAGTAGCATACATTTAAAGTGTATGCTCATAGCGATCATAAAAAACTATTTGAAGTATCTGAGGTGGTCGTCTCTCAGCAATCTATTGCTACGATATTGTTCTTCCACGTCGCATGCGTGTACGGTGCTCGAAACGCTCGAACTAGGCCGAAATAGATGAAGCAATCTTCTCAAGCAATTGTTGAGCCACATGTGCGAATTAGATACTTTTTACGGTAGATTATCTCGTATTCGCTCCTGGACGGGGCACACAAACTCAACCTCTGCGTTCTTGTACATTTTAGAGTCAAACTTTCAATTGTGCAAGCTGCACGGCACCCTTTGCAAATAAAGTCTAGTGCTACATACTTGTCTGCTATAATTTAAACATATGTCGTGAATAGTGTGGGGTCAGCAGCCCACATGTCCTACGGACCTACGGAATCGCGTCACCCGCAATCCTACCATCATTACCATTGCACTTCACTTTGATTTATTTCAATTTGGCCAATAGAATTGTAGAATTTGTGTAATGTGTTCGTACAATAGAACCCGACTTGGCAGATAAGTACACGACAGCTCTTCAATACTTCTTCGTTCATCTGAATATTTTGGAGACGTTACTAATCGACCCGAATTAAGATTCTATCTGCCTATGCAGGCTAAGACAAAAATTTTATCCATGCTATTACACTTCGCATTCCAAACCGACCGTGCAATCATGAAACTGTCAATCAGACGTCGATTTAGTCGAAGAAGCGCTTCAAGTCGTTGGTAAACCAGCGGTAATTGATTCCGAAAAGATACCTGTACATTACCGTTCTGAAATTGTATGTATCACTAGTTGCCCTCATGTATACCTGGAGTGGTACTCTTGTGCACTTGGTGTGGTAATCGCTGATTGAGCTAGATGTATCAAGGGGACACTATAGTACAGTGAGTCTCAGTACATGGGGTTGAGTGTTTAAGAGGGTAGCAGCCTGTTTGTGAGCTTAGCATCTTTTGCATCAAGTAGTTTCTATCGCTTAGAGCCTTAGATCAATCTATGCCATCGTGATCTGATCATAATTAGGTATTGCTGGTTGCTAATGGTTGGCTATATCCTTTGTCCGAGTCACATCTAGTTTTATCGAAATCGGACAAACTATTCAACCACAATAGGTAACTGTAACTCGGTTGAGATACTTTGTAAGGCTATCAAAGCGTAATGGTCGACCATTAACACTTTTTGCAGCAGACACAAATTGATCAATAGGAGAACGATGTGACCTTTAGGAGCACACAACGTCGACTACAACTATAATTACCTTCATGATACAGCTCTAAGATTTAACATTGCGTTGTACTGAGGCTCATGACAATCGCTATACCATTTTGATTCCCACAGCACAAAGTAAGTATTAGAACCCAGATATACACACATTTTAATTCCGATATGAATAACGAACAGACGTTAGCAAGTTTAGGCAATTTAGCCGAGAACGTACGGCTACGTGGTATCTCCGCGTGTCCGTATTGTCATCAAGGTTTTGGAAGCGCTTCATTATCAATTCATGTAGGACGATGTCGTGCGCGGCTACCTCCAAGTTATGAAGAAGCACAAGCAGAAGAAGAGCAAAAACGTGTTAATCAAAAGAAGAAACCTGTGATTCACTCCCTCGTCGATCTGTATATTGCGATTTCTTACTTAATAGGCGTCAGCAGTGATTATACTAATTATTATCATGATTTACCGACAGATGCCTTCGCTTGGTGGCGAAACATTTCAAGTCTATTTGCATGGACAGAATTTCAGCATTTCCTGAAGCAGAAGGTTGGTCGCTGTAGCAAGTAAACGATTGTGTTTGTATATATATATGAATTTTGTACTGCTAGCGGCCTTGATCTCATCCTTGCCAAGTAACTTGGTGCATCGTATGGTGGTGAATCTGGTTAAAGATAATAAACGAGTAGGCAGCATGTGTTCAAAACAGTCAAATGACTACTGATCACTTGAATTGAGTCATTTTAGGTTGAGATACAAAATCAAGAGAATCGAGCGACAATTAAGAAACTCAAAAGTGCGTTACAGGAAGCAAATCAATCTTTAAATCAGCTTGAATCAGCACGGAGATTGGCGGCAAATAGTCGCACGAAGATAGCGGAGCAAAATAATGGTTTTCATAGGCTGCAGCTTGAGCTGAAGTCCGCGAAAGATAAAGAGTCAATTGCTGAAAGAAATAACCAGCGATTACAAACAGAAGTCACAAGCGCAAAGAAGAAGTTGCTGTGTTACGATGCCAAGGTATGGTGAGGATTTAAGTTACAGGAAAAAAAACTGAAATTATTCTTGTTGCAAACAGGTTAACAAACTGAAGTCTGACAAAGTTGAACTGGAAAAGGCTTTGATCGAATCTCAAAGACGCGAAATGGAGACGACAAAGCAATTGGCTTTAGCACGAAAGGCAAATATTGGAGTTAATAGCTCACGACACAGATGTGGTAGATCTAAATATCGTCAGAGCACAGCTCAGCTGTCGACTTCAACGTGTCGCTCTTCTGAAAAAAATATCAATACCAGTACTCTCGATTTATGTAAATCCAGTTCACACGCACAACAGATTACAAAAACAAACATTTCTTTCCCGTCATCCATTTGTCCTCCAGCTCAGCAACATCAAAACCAAGACGAAGAATTACTCGATTAATTGCAAGAAGTTGTATATGTGCCCAGTCTTGGTATCTTAGATAGGTTGAGTCAAATTTAATGTAGACCAGACACACATATGATGGACGTGCGTGTAAACGCCGCTATTAAGCACTGATTGAGCCAATAAATACACAAATGTTACCAAAGTTACGGGCCATTTATGAATGCTGAGCGTGTGAAGCTCTTTCAAGCTTTGGTAACGTCAATTGTACTCTTCGTTGCAATTATTATATAAAATAAAAAACTTGACGATTGAACATGATATTCAAGACAGAGGATGACCATCGACGATACGAGATGGCGAAGGAAATGAATCGAAAAGCTCTTGTGGTTTAATCGGCTTTGAGAGAAGCTGCTTAACTTTCGAGCAATGGTGAGACGGAGTATGAGGCCATGTCGACAGAGGATATACAGACGGATAATGATGGTGGGTCAATAGGACAGATTTGAACGGCTCAAAGTAGTGCTACGACAACGAGCTTAAGCTTGAGAGACGATCAATGCTTGATGAACGATGGATTAAGTTAGAGGAACAACGATTTAAACAACAAAGACAAACGGCTGAGAAGCAAATGGAAATGATGACTACCCAAACGAATGTTCTACTTCAGCTAGCAGCAAATTTAGCTACTTTAAGGCTGAAGTGAAGAACTCAGAATAGATGGCAGTATAGTTGATTTAAATGACATTCGTTCGATCTGAGCTGTTAAGCCTTTTCCTTTGATTTGGTGCGCGATGTGGAGCCATTTTAAGGCTAAGTCATTGACTTATATATTGACGCTTCTCAATAGGTGCATGACTATCAAGAGAAAATTGTGGATCTAGTCGTGTGTGCACTAGTCGTTGCTTTTGATGTTTGATTGCTTAAGAACTTGCTTGTGACGAGTTAAGGCTCGTTCAGCCTCGTCTTCACGGTGATTATAAGCCTGTCGAAGTCGTTGAACTTGTTGGTAGCATCGGATTTGAGCTCGTTCTGCCTTTGCATCATTTTCAAGCTCCATGATGCTTAACCTTTTTTCGAATCGATACTGCTTTAGTTTTCTCTATAATATATACATGATTTAAAGAGGAAAATTGTACAGATTCGAGAAATGATCAAACGTACTAGCTCTTGAACACTGCACTGCTTTCTGGTATTTTTGACAAGCGTCCAACCGTCTAAGCGACTTTGGGCATAACCCACTTGTAAACTGGTTAACGAAGGTAAAGTATTGCTTCGAATGAGATCCAAAAACGAAATGATTGCTTTGAACTCCGGATTGCGAGATAAATTGAGTTCATGTAGCTGTTTACAATGTCCATGTGCTAGCTCCTCAGCGATCCGAAGCAATCCACGATGAGGAATTTCATTGTCTACAAAAATATTTTACAAAATTGGCCAACACCTGATTCAGATTTGTCAAAAACGCACTGCTAAGATCGAGTGACCAAAGAGTTTGAGCTGATGGTGAACGTAAGAAGACACAGAAACGTGCAATGCCTTCTCCACGTGCAAAATTTCCTAAGTTGGAAAAAGAAATCATTAGCCATTCCGTCCTTTTGGATTCTCAACTTTACTTACCCGAAAGATCAAGATGTTGTAATCGTGGACAACATTTCGAAGCTAATGCAAAGCTCAGTGCCTCAAATTCTAAAGCTTTTAACTCGTTGTCTGGTTGATCCGCGAGTCATTAAGTATTGTCAACTATTTCAAACGATCTTATATTACCTGCAGCTGCCAGCGAATGAAGATGCAGCAATTTTCCCGCAAGTATTGCCCGACTCAAAGTCTCAATTGACGATTCTATACCATTGTTTGAAATATCCAAATGTTGTAGTTTTAAGACTGGCCCTTGCATTAATGCAGTCATAATTCTTTGAAACTCGTTGTCACCAAGTCGCATACCTCATGTAACATAAAGAAAAAGTGTTAAAGTTGATGTTGGAGACGTACAGAAAGTATAAGATCAGCACTTGAGATATTAAGCGTCCGTAGTTCAAGATACGTTACCATCAACTGTAAAGTTGGAATGGTAACATATCGATGTTGAATAGCTTCTTGGGTTGTATTCAATGGATTGCCACTCACGTCTAGAACGGAAAGATGTGGACAAAATGAAGATTTGTTTTGAAATGTCTTGAGCAATGCTTTAATAGCCATGTCATCGTCTGTAATAGCTACACAATGAAGTTCTTTTAGATTTTGAAGTGCTTGTGTTTTGATCTGGTGACGTAGCTTCTGCAGCGTAGCGAACGTGCATAAGTTGTATGAGATATTGAGAATTTGAAGCGCAGGTGTCATCGATAGACACGAAATAACTCGCTGGAGATCTTGACTGGTCATTTCAGTGTCTAGCACATTCAAAACTTATGAGATTAGGAAAATAGAAACGCAAACTTGCTGCGTACTGGAAAGATTTATCTCTGTGAGCTTTGTAAACATTTCATGTTTAAAGCTCCAGGTCCATTCCGTCACAAATCGACTGCTAAATGTAACTTTAGCCAAACTCAAACGCTCGAGATTCGAGAATCGTGGGTTTCGCCACAGTCCAGCGAGATGTTTGAACTGCAGATCTTCCAGAACAAGATCTAAGAACCAATAGAAGTCATGTACTCGAAAGCGAAATCTTAAGTAATGAAAGGTGTACCAGTCAGTTCTAAAGAGGTCAAGCGAGCACTCACGTGGTCTGTAAACAGCGTCTGCATGAATCGTTCAAAGTGCATTCCATTTGAATGGCTCAATCCACTCACTTTACATAGTGATATTGAATGTACGGCAGCAAAACATTCCGTGACATGATCTAAATTGACATCTCCCGAACACTCCAGCAATTGAAGAACATTCACTACATCTTCAGCTTTTGCATTGTAGAAAGACAAAGCTGGTGTGTTGTTAAAACGCCAGTAAATTCGATTAGTTTGAGAATTAAAAGACGCGAGAAATCTTTGTACCAACTGCGCATTATTAAACTCAAGAGGTAGAGCGTTTGATGCATCGTAGAATGCGATGCAAGTTGAACTAACTCGCACTCGATCAGCAAGTGATAGAAATTCCATCATTTTTTTTGAAAACGAGCTCTCACGATTTTGTAAAACGCGATAGACGAGGTATCTTCCTTGTCGAGAACGGGGACAGCACAGATCGTAATAAACTTGAACACTAGCTCGAGATGCCTTGTTAATATACGAAACAACTCGAGCTGGTTCAAAAGTATCCAAATATTTAAAAACACGAGCTAACAACAACACGAATGGCATACTTGAGTCAGAAAATAAAATTGGAGGACGGTCGTGATCTGATTGAACATTCTTTTTATCCTTAGGTCTTATGTAATCGATGCGATGCTTCACTCCATGGTCCACTACCTCCACCATACTTTGGTCAAACTCAACGGTTAATCGCTCCCCCTTTTTCAATTTCTTCTTCTTGACTTTCCCAATCTTGTCACCAATTTCAACCTCACTTTTCACACTTTCATTTTCGCTGTCACGAAGTTCTTGATGCTTAGCATTAGGTGAAACGTGATGAGTAATGATATGATCACTTTCAATGAATGAAGTTATGTGTGAAGATATCGCATTTGATGTTGTCAAGATGTGTTTTATTGCAGTGTTTGAGCGATTTTGAATACGCTGTACAATCCACTTTTGTAGTGATTTCAATAAACTTGTTTCATTGTTTAACGTCTTTGATGTTTGAGTACGAAATCGAGTCGATTCTGAGTAAAAAGTGTCTCTCTTGACCTTACTCATCGATTTCATCCATGGCTTCACCATTTTATCGCAACCGTCACTTTAGATTGTGACCTTTCTTCTCGACAGCTTATTAAAAGATAAAACGTCCAGCATCCTTGATCTTCGAGCTCTGGCACGGGAGGTTGCGCTACCAAGTCGCTTTTACGTTGCACTGGCCTTTGTACGAAAGACAATAGCTCACAGTTGATCTTTACATCCCCGTCAGATGCAACTTGCAATTTGGTATCGTACTGGGAAGGGTGAGGAAGTAGCACTAACTGATAGATCAAAAATATTTTTGGTTGCATTAAATCGTATTGAGAACTAAAAAAATTAGCGCATTGCAGTCCTCGTCTATCGTTTCCACCATTTGAATTCGTAATAGAGTAACGACATGTCTGCGCCGACCAGAAGAAGAGAAAAGGGGATGGACAGCGTCTTAAAGAGGCCAAACGCCTCGAAATTATTGAGATGATGGGATTGCTAGCCAGCAAAAAATGAGGCCTAGATTTTCCTTCGCAGCACCCTGCTATTAGAAGACAAATTTTACTTTTGAGCTGCGTGATAGTTAAAGCAAGATAAATTGTGGAAACGATGGCTGATTGCGATGAATTCCTAGCGAGTTGGGGCCCGTAGCGATCCATTAAGGTGATGGTGTCGACAGAAACAACATTAAGACATTGAGAACATTAGACAAATTTGAGGTGATTGTTAAAGAAGATTATCCAAGTTGCGTCTTCAAGATGGATAAAATAGGGTTGTTTTCGCTTGCTGCTTCGCTAGTCTGTTTTGTCACTCTCTAATACTATTCGAAGCAAAAAAGCCGAAAGCTAAAGCTACACTTATTGTTTGTCGCAATGCAATCGAGACTGAGCCAGTCCTGTAGCAGTGATTGGGAAAGCCAACGCACCAGCTTGTATATCTTGGTGGCATTGGACATGGCCGAGAGTTACATTTTTCCCAAATGTCACATCATGGAAACAATGAATGGACCTGTAATTATCGCTGCACTCAATAAGCGCTAAGTTTATGCTGATGAAAGATATTCCTTCCTATCATAATCTGACAAATGGTCTTGAATTCCGTGTAGAATCAGATGCCTCGAAATTGAGACAAGATGCAGCGCCTTAGAATTTCAAAAGACCAGCCCACTTGCTGGACGCGGCTAATTATGAGCATGGAATGCGATCTTAAGAGGATAGTGAAGAATTGCAGATAAAAATACTGATTTTATGCAAGAAGACAGATAATCAATGAAGGAGGAAGTGAGAACTGCATGTTAAAGTTTGATCTCGGTGATGGAAAAGCACCATTGCACATCAGTTGATCAGTCTGTCATTTCTCAGAACAGCTCTGAGAATATCTGGGTCTTTGTGAACCCGGTCTTGAAGTGTATCAACCAGCGGTTATTAAAATTACTGGAAATTAAATTAAAAATGAGGAAAGGATGGGAGAATATTGACCAAGAATTTTTAAACAGATTATTCTCGTGCAAGTCGTTGACCTCAATCCAAGAAAACGCAATCTACTAGAGTCACGACTAATTGAATGCTGAATAATTTATTATCGACATAGGATAACATACAGCACACATGCTTTCAAGAGAGAGAAGTGCTGAAAGTCGGCAAATCTGCTTCTGAATATGTCGATCCACATTTACATCGCGGACTTATCCACGATGCGAACTTAACAAACGCAGATACTTACTGTATGGATAAGAAGTTGAATCTTTGGGGTCTCTCAAATTTTCAACTACAACACACACTACTTAGAGTCAGAGAAATATGCGGACATTTCACCAAAAATTGATACCAGTGAGGATAGAAAGAACTGATAACTGATCCGAAAATGATACTAAGCTTTATCATAATATATCTCACCTTTTAAAAAGTAACCATTTTTGCGCGCTACTCCATGAATTTATAAAGTACTTTGAGAAGACACATATATGCGCTATATGCGATAAAGCTCATTTTCAATTGTCTTTTAGCGACGTCTCGTCATTTTGATAAAAAATCTCCGTCAGCGCTCTCATGATACTATAATATGATATATTATAACACAGAGGTATCATAAAGGTGGTGATTTCAGTGTGGGTGCGAATATTTATACGGTACAATGATCTATAAACTAAATCACGTGACTCCACAAAATGAAGTAGGGCTGATTGAAAAAATCCAATTTTGAGCACAACAAATCTCATTCAGAGCATTGATATGAGTCAGAACTGTATATGCGCTACTACACAGTCATGGAGGCAAGAGGGGAAGTTATTTGACTAAGAAACCCGATCAGATCTGTATGTTAGTATGGCTGCAATTTTACCTCTATGACTTTGTGACTCTCCACTTTTGAAAACATAATTTTGTGAGTTATAGATCGATTTAAAACTAATTCTGATTCTAGACACACGTCGTTGTGATTTGAAATGATTGCCAAGCTCTCTTTCACACTCAGCTGTAAATAATAGGGTGATATACAACTGATATAAGAATTATATCTGGTTGCTGCAGCTAATCCCAGTACAGTACCACGAGCTGAGCACAAATTCCAAGCGGCGCCTCGCAAATTTTAGATACATACGTGCGAGGGTTGCCTAGTATGATACATTTCATACCGTTGCTGATTTTTTTTTCGTTTGCGCCGACTATAAGAACCATTTCACCAATTATTGTATCTATTTTTGAATTTCAAGGTCTGAATATCAAAAGTGCTTTGATCTGCTCTAGATTTAGATTACTTACTGCACCAAATTATCAATTTTTATCATTATGGTGTTACTATTAGATTGTAGAATGCATACAATGATACGACATAGGGCAGTAACACGCTTCTGTGGTGTGCTGTAGCGGTTCGGGAACTGGGGTTGACAAGTATCGTAACCTTGCCATCTGCTCGAGAAGCTTAAGCTGACGAAGATGCTTGGTCACTTGACTTTGTAACTTCGCATTGTGCTCATTGAGCTGTTGCACCGTTGCCAATTGATTTATCGTCCGATTCATCGACGTGTCGAGCGACTTTCCTTTTTTAGCTTTTTGCTCCCACTCGAGACCTTCTCGCTTTTGCTTTCGCGCTTGTAAATCCGTGATTGTCGCTTGAAGCTCAACAACTTGTTTTCTTAAAAACTCAATCTCAAGCTGCTGCTGCGACTTTGGCTGAATCATATTATTTTCTGTCGAACTTTCGATGAAACGAGGGTTTGCAGCATCGGGAGTGACCACTTGTTGCTTGTTTGACCTTTTTAGTTGATGTCGCGTTTGCAAACCCAAAGAGGTCAGTGAGGACATTAAGGTCGTCGTTAGTGATCGTCAAATCGTCTGACCACTCAGTGTTGGATGGGTACACAGTTTGATTAAATCGAGGAAGAAGACCGTCATCCGAGAATAGAGAGACAAGATCGTTACTGTCGGACAATGTCGTCATCAGTGCCTTGATGCGTTCGATGCGTGGCAAATTTCAGACTGTGCAGCTCCACCAACTTCGTTTGTCCGGAAGAAGGGGAATATCCGGAAGAAAGGACGCGTGGAAAACCTTTGTTTTGTAAGTGCGTTGACGATTTGTGGATATCACCTGTGTGTGTGATACATCACTTATATTCGACCATGTATCGTTGAAGATAGTAAAAGACAAGAGAATACGAGGATGCAAGTGGCATCCACATATATATACGTACAGATTAGTACGAAGTATTAACAGCATTCATGTATAGCGAGTACTTTTGGGAGAAGACTGCTAGACCAGGACATTGAAATGAAAAAGATTCAGTCTGTTTAGTCAACAAATCGAAAGGTTTCTACTCATGCTTGTCGGTATACAAAACGAAAACAACCTTTACACGCTACTTGAGGGATCTGAATCGTCACGTTTACAAGATATATACTGATGGAAATATTTTGGGTATGGGTAGAAAATCCAAAAATGCCTATCTGCAATGCCGCTGGTAAGGTATCTGCACAGATTCTGTTTGCGGCAGCTCAAACATCTGATGCGCAATCGTGGGACAGCCTCACGACAGATTGTTACGTGCCTGACGCTGCGCGAATGGCGAGAAAAGAAAAACAAGTGGTGCAATATTGTAAAGCGCACTGATGAGCATGACATAAGGCTCTAGGAATGAGCAACAATGAAACGATGATATTAGGAGTATTCTTTCTAATCGATGTAGACCACAGTTTGAGATGTTGTGCGCTCGTGTTTTCGATCTGTCAATGGACGACTCGCTGTAAATTCGCATAAACTCAACTTATCGAAATTGTTCATCGTATTGCCGTAGCTCTTGCTCTTAGCGGGTGCAAAGTAAATTGCTTCGGATTGTCGAGTTTAACGAGATGTCATAGAACTTACGTTAACGAGATGCAGATAATAGCGCATGTAGTACATTAAATGACAAATTCTGTTCTATCTGTTAAATGCAGATATTTGTGCGAAGATTGATTTGGAAAAGAACGGGCACTGCCTTCAAGAAGTTACGTTTCTGTGAAAAGGCTCTAATTATATGAGGCAATACATGTCAAATGTTGTGAGCATTGATGTTGACGTAAAGCTTCTTGTTCAACAACATAAACACGGACAAGGACATGGGCATAAAAATTTGCGGTGATTTCTTTAGATGAGTCCCCATTACGCTGGCTAACCCGTGACTGCATACTGGCTATTATACACAGACTCTAATCGGATGGAAACTTCTGACAGCACATCCATCGATTGTAGGGACGAAATGACTAGCACCTTTTACAGAATCATGTGATTGTATATGCGTTTCAGCTTCCTGTAGCTCAAGTCGCGCATAATTCAATTCGAGAATGTCTTTATCCTTCTGGAATACTTCTGTGCTGACAATAGTCAGCACAGAAGCAGCTTAGATGCTTACGGCATCAATATTATCAAAGGCATACAGCACGGAATAGCAAAGACACAGATCAGTTCGTTTTCATGTATGATTAAATCATCATGCGATCGACAGCACGGTTGAACCAGATCTTTAAGTACTTAGCAGCTGGTGGTAGTGTCGACAAATCGTCTCTCTGTTAGTTGGATGTGTGAAGAATAATACGGTGGTCGTTCAATCGATGCACAGTCTCTTTTTGGAAAGAAATGGCCTAGGAATGTGGAAAAGTATCCACGGTAGCAATATGAAATATAAATTCCATCATTAGTGTTCGGACTCTTACGTTATCTTAACAGTCGCACGATATGCGGATAAACACGTTCTAGCAAATCGCTCGTATGTGTTCTCAGAACAATCATTGCATAGGTATAGCTGCTACTTTTACAACGACAACTCCATGAATTTTAGGGAAGCTAGCTGGATACGTGTTTTCTAGCAATTCGAAAGCTTTGTAACTCTAATGTGATATTGCAATATTAATTCAGGTAGAAGGTGCAGCTTTCTAGTAAAAAGTCTGAAAAAGTGGAATTCTGTCAAATTTATGGCTTTCTAAAATTGCGTGAGATAATTGTAATTTTTATGGTATCAGACAATATTCGTTAAATAATGACCAAATCTACATTTTTCGGCTGATTTATTAAGCGCATAATCACCTGTCACACAACAGCCGATGAATATTACAAGGCTTCGCGAGTTTGTACTTTGTGGTCTTTTTCTTTACATCATGGAGCTGTCATGCTTGCTCGAAGCTTTTTGTAAGGGAATTATAGCAACTCATGTATGTAATAAGTTACGGTATCATCTTCAATTTTAACACACCATAAGATATGTGCCAGTTCACCGTTAGTCAATTTTGCTACCTCAATTAACCGATCCCAGCTCATAGCTTGGGCTGGGACCGGGGATACCTGGTTCAATGTCCATAGGACATAGGTCACTAAAGTGGGCGAGCAATCACACCCATGTGGTGTGACCGCCCTGCTGACCCGCAGCCATATGGGTGTGATAGTTGGGTGGGGGAAGCCCTACAAACCGAAAAAGCAGTGTAATGAGGGATACGGAACATGGTCCAAAATGGGTCGGATAGCTACCAGCATATCAGCTAAATCCTAGCGTGTGAGCTCCGGTAGCTTTAATCTCGATAACGCTAGGATGTATCCTTCAAACCGGTTAGCTGCACTATCCCTGCCATCCCTTCGAAGCGACGGCATCCAGTCGAGTCATAGTCCTGCCTTTTGGGATAAATCTTTCTATAGACCAGCAATAGATGCAAAGCTTGGCATACTACACTGAACAGTCAGGGAGCAAGTGTCGATCGGAGAGCGTATATATCATGTTTATCTGCTAGACAATCACCACAATTGTTTTTCAGCTAAAAGGCAGCGTTTATGAGTACTGTGGACAGGGACCGTAATTAGCACCAGATACGACTGGTACTTCAAGGGGGGGTATGCAACGCTTTAACCAGTATCATACAATGATGAAAAGTTCAAACGTTTGTATTAGTGATCATATGAACCAGTTTGATTCTTAATGTATGTTGATTAACACGAATGCTACAAGTCAGATATTTATGTGTGTAATATGCGCGGCAACTTGTTACAGATAAAACGTGGTTATTTGCAATTGCCGATTGCCGTTAAGCTCCAAATTAATCTTGTTTAAGAACCTCGTCCTAAAACTGCCTCCGGTGGAAGCTATACGAGCGTAAATTACGCCAGAACTGCTTACGTAACCGGGGCACGACGAACCATCAAGAAGATTGCGACTCCTGTGGGCGACGTTACGGTGCCTTACTCGGTGAGCAAGGTGAGGTGTTGTCTGATATGACGATAATAGATAAGCTATCTGCGCCTTCTTTAGAAGCTGCAAAGCTTTGACAGTCTTGTTCAATTCAAGCCTCTCTTAGCTTGAAATGTTCGCAACTTTGAACCACGCTGCTCGTTGAAGCAATTCAAATTAAACTGTCCATCGGTACCAAAGACACAATTAGAGGTCATAGCTCTTGAACATGGTCCAGTAACTCTTCATTTCATTAAACATAATGAGAATTTCGATCGTATGGGATATGCCTGATTAGGCGGTGCAAAGAATCGCGACAGCTGTTGCTTGAGTATCAACCATGTCGAGAGCTCCTCGTTATTGAGGCACCGCACGTTAGCGAAATACTACGACAAGGTATTGTTGCGCTACTTTGACAGCTACAATAGGATACAAGACATGATAATGGCCATACAGCTCTGACCAATATAGCCCTTTACAAAACCGAGTACTACGGACTAAGACGTAAGAAGGTATTTAAATATTTAGATCGGATATCAGTTATGTCGACAAACTACCTGGCAAAACTTTCAATGGTACTGACGAGTCATTGGTCTCCTCGGCAAAACATCTAGTTGCAGTCAGATTAATACTTGTCAGCGAACTGCAATCAATTTTGCGCCTTTCTCTTGCTTCTCACGACCAGGTGAAAGCGTTTGGTAACCGTATCGAAATTTACTACATGCTCTTTGCCCCATGAAATATGAAGACTAAAACATTGTACACTTGGTGATAATTCATATACTCTTTGTTCAAATCCAATGTGAAACGTAGTCTACGTACGCGTAACACTCTTGTTATCTCGGACTTAGAGTAAAAAGCATTTGTATTTCGTGAGGTACCATTATGCTGGCTTACAATTAGTACCCTTTTGAATATCCGTTTGGAATGAAAGTGAAGTCACTCCTTAGAGGAGATATCTGTAAGACAAGCCTCCCGGGAAGTGTAGCAATCGGAGGCTGATCTTGATGTCTTGAGTGAAAAATGCTGAGAGACATTTATCTTGACATAGTTTTACATGTAGAAGCTGATCTGATGTTTCTTGGTTCTGATGTATGATTTATCTTGTAGGTCCTATGCTGTTACTTACAGCTGATGACAAAAATATAAGTTGGTTAGTAGCTACGTCGGCAATCATATAATTGAAAACAGGAGTTATTATTATCAATAGTAAATCATTTATCGGATATCATTAAGGTAGCGTCGAATGTGAATGATATATATTATTTCAAACAGGTGAACAGTACTACTCACGAAAAGCGCTCGATAGAATTGCTTATGTCGGTTGCAAGCTGCTATATATTCTCTTGTTCTACAGCTACACCTACTCGGTCCCGACTTAGATATTAGAATTGCTGGGGTAATTTTTTGATTTCTTTTTCGCTTGATTTCGATTTTTAATTGCTACGATTCGCCATCCCAAAGTCCAGTTGTAAGGCTATTAGTAAATGAAATGAGTGAGTACCCGGTCTGAGCACGAATACTGTTCCATAAAAGCTTATAGTCAGCCATAGAAACAATAGTCTTACCATTTAGCTCCAAAGACATCGAATCGATGACGTTCCAGTTTCCACACTTCAGCGAAACGCAAAAACGGTTAGCCGCAGCCGCAGCAAGAGTAGCATGAGTGTTTTTCATCGATACATTGTATGGTAGCATAATGTAGGCATCACGAAGCGAAGCAAATCCTTCACTTCTATTAAGCTGGGACGTAGCGTCGATAGTGATAACACCATTTTGGTACGAACCTTGGTTAAGATCGATAACAAAAGGCACGCGCTTGCCAGAGGAGA